GGGGGGCGGTTGTGGAGAATGAAGCGAGGTTAAATTAAAATCTTTCTATAGCCAGTTGAAAACTGCATATAACTCCTATTGTATTCATTTGAAATGCATCCTTCCAAATTTATATTCAGCTTATACTGTACAGGATTGTGTGTGAACTGGAGCCTATCCTAGCTGACTTAGGGTGAAATCTGGGCCAGACCCAAGGCTGGCCACCAATCAGTTGCAGGGCACGTAAACTGTTGTCACCTCTGATGAACTGCCTTTCTGACATCCAGACTGCGCTCATTTTCTGGCTGAATATTTCACAGACAAGAATATTGCATGATTTGTTACTCTGTTAGGTGGGCAAGTCGAATTGTCAGCTCCACTGAAAGCTTGACTTTGTCTTGTTTGACAATCATGGCTATTGGAAAACTTGTGGCGTAGGTAGATGAGGGGGATGTTAAAAATGACTTTGATATTTCCTCTTTCTCACACGCAGGGGGTGTTTGGAATCTCTGAGAAGCATAAAATCAAAAAGATTGACCGCAAGCTAGCAACGGAACCACAGGAACTAATAGCGTCAGCAAGATCTTCCTCTTCAGACAAGGCTTGTGTGGTTGCACTTCTCATTTAACTTGAAAACAGATCTGTAAATTCACAGAAATAATTTAGCTTTGGTTTATGCTGAAATGAAATATATTGCTTCAACGTGTGGAAACAACTTGTGTGGCTTCACTGTGACAGTCCCCTTTTTAAAATTAACAAAAAAAAAAAGGGATATTCAAGCTTTATATTGAAGTTGTATAAACATGTCTTCTCGTGTTTTTTGTTTTCCAATCATAAATCATGGAACTAACAATGGGTTTAGTGTCTCAGCTGTGGGCTTCTTGGTGACTCCTTGTTGCTTAATTTATATATCATACAACACATGTTTAAAGCTAGACTGACATTTATATTTTTCCATTATAGCCAGCACACTCCTCCACAAGAATTTAAAATGTCAGGCTAAACCTCTTTATTATTGCTGTAACCTGAAAACATTTTGGTTTGACATGAAAAAATAAATAAAAAGAGAGAGACAAGAGAGCAGCAGTTGAGCTTTGATTTCCAGCTATGTATTTTTGGATCTTTTACACAACTTGGACGTTAGCGTTATTTGGAACTAAAGATCTTATTTTTAGGTGAGCAAAAGTTCCGGAACAGAATTAAAATAGACTAGAGTGAAAGAGACTTTCATATGCCAGCAATATTTTACTCTTTTATTATCATAGGACAGGATGAGCTTATTTACACTAAGTGTACTGACTGAGGTACAGGAGAATGCACCTGAGTCTAAAAATAAAAATTCTTTCAGACTGTGTTGGTCAATAAAATGATTTTTTTGTTCAGTCTCCCTGTGTGACCCAGTACCAAATGTAACACGGAGTTATACTGGTTGAGGATCGCTGCTTCATCGGGCTAGAGATCCACTTGGCTATGTCACAGTGTGTGGTGGTGGAGGACCCCAAAAAAGCAGGCAAGAGGGAGGAGCAGGGTGAAGTTGACAAATTGTATCAACAAAAGACTGAGGAAAATAAATCCAAACATACAAAGTCATAGAAACAAAAAGAATCCAAAGTAACAAACAAAAACCATGGCTGAAGCAAAAAAACTAACAGCAACAGAAACAATGACAGAAAACAAACAATGACCCGACCCCGAGTGGTCGTGCCGGGAGTCCTTTTAACAGACACTAATGACACAATGACCAACAGGTGTGCAGCTGCAGGCGGAGTGCTACAGTGCCACCTGTTGGTCACAAACAGAACCATGACAGGCTAAAAAAGCTACTTCCTGTCCACAATGAACTCATTTGTTTTGGTAGTCAATTTTGAGTCCGTATATTGATCTCACAATTGGTTTGATGTCAGCTTTTTTTAAATTGGCATAAAAAAAAAAAAATGCTTCAAGACTGCCTGGTTCATTTTGCTGCTGCAAAGATTTGTTTCATCAATAAAGATTAATGAGCCTGTCCCAGAACTTCCAAGCCATGACACTACCTTCATTGTGTTTTACAGATGAGCTTGTCTGTTTCCAATGATGAATAATGTTACGGTCCACAATATTTTGTGGCCGTCAACCTGTATGACCCGAAGTTCACGGGTGCTAAAGAGAGGTCGATAGGTGCCACAAATATTTTAAATGGCAATAAGTTGGAACGTACTTGCGAAAGTATTTGTCTAAGTTTGATTGAATGTGTGAATGTGAATCTGTTTCCTTTGTCGACACAAACCCTTGATTGACCTGCAACAAGTGGTCAGCTCAGCCTGGTATACAGTTGAGTTGAGTTGAGTACAGGCTGCCAGTCTGCCAGACCCCAATGAGAGCCCGACCCCTAGTGTTTAATGGTAATATAACATCCCAGAATGCATCTGTGGCTGAAATATTTCCATCTCAACCTTCTCTGATTAAAAAAAAAAAATTAAAATTCAAGTTGAGTACTGAGAGGATCATTCTGGATTGCTCTACAACAGGGGTAGGGAATGCCGGTTCCTCGAGAGCCATATCCTGCCTGTTGAAGATGTCTCCCTACTCCAGTGGTTCTCAATTATTTTCTGTCATTATCATTTGTCTATAAAATTGTTATAAGTACACCTTTACATAACACTGTATCCTTTTTAACGTATAAGAGAATAAAAAAAGAAAGAAATAAGGACCAACTTTATGGACCGACTTACAACAAAGAATAGCTTTAGTAACTGGAACAGAAAAGATTTAAAGCACTCTGAAATTCAAAAATAACATTAAATCCTTAATTTAACAATAAATATTTTTTGACTGACCATGTCAAACTATACGATATACAATGATATTAAGCTTTCAAGTGTTTGTTTTTTAGGTGCACTGGATGACTTTGACAAGCAGTCTGCGCCTCCTGAACCTGAAACACCTTCTTCCTCGTCCAGCAATGGACCAGAAATGGTTGGTGTCATAAGTTTGTGCTTTTTTTTTTTTTTTTTTAAATTAAAGATGATGTCTGGATTAATGACTACAATGAGCACGTTTTGCAATGCGCAGCTTTTCGAAGCGAGGTTTGAAGCAGGACACAGCAACTCTCGGCTCCTGCTCAATGTGTAGCCGGGACCTGTATTTTAGTTTACTGAAGTAGCAGTCACAAAGCGGCATGATTGTTGACAATATTCAGCACATTTTCGCTGAAAAAAAATCAAGCAGCTTATCAGCGTGATTTGGGGTGTAATGTCTTTAAGTGACGCCTTAATTTATTTGGCTTCATGCTGTCCGCTACCAAAATTTTTAGACAGAGTAAGCACTTCTCTTTCCTCGTCTGCCACCGCAGTCACATTGAAGCCAAGTGCTACATACGCCTCTCATATTTCCTCCCTGAGAATGCTACCTGCGCAAACGCTGCCAATGAGAGCGCCACTGCCCCCTAATGTAGTGGAGGTGCAACTGCACGTTATTTTAGGACAGTAAAAAAATTAAAAAGCATGTTCCCCGAGGTCAAACGCGCCCCCCTTGACGGAGCCTCGTGCCCCCCCAGGGGGGCGTGCCCCACTATTTGAGAAACACTGCCCTACTCCAACACACCTGATTCAAATGATCAGGATCTTTTTAGGCTTCTACAGAGCTTGCTGACGAGCTGATCATTTGAATCAGGTATCGTGGAGTAGGGAGAGATCTAAAAACGGCAGGATATGGCTCTCGGGGAACTGGAGTTCCCTACGCCTGCTCTACAAACGGTTTTGTTTCTGTATTTTTTTTCCTGCACAGCAACTGTTCAGCTCATGTTTGTATTTTCATTTGCAACACAGCCGCGTTGTTTCAAAAACACAACATGCATAATGCATGTGTAGGTTCAGTGTTGACAGTTTGTCTGAACCCCTCCACTGCTTCTGTTTCTTCACATGTGTTTACCAGAGCTAGAGCCCACACTGGTTGCCATAGAAACCCCAGCTCTTGGCACTGATACAGCCTGTCACGAGAGTTCATTTTCCAAGTGCGTGAAGAGCCAAATAACAGCACACAAACACATCACCCACTTTGAATGATAAAAAAAAAAAAATCTTTTATTTTCACGTCACAAGACAGTGGAGAAAGTATAAAACGAGTTTACAGATTCCCCCCCCCTCCCCCGTGATCACCATTACAACAATTGTACATTAAATGATGGCATTCACAGGTTAAAGATGAATAATCAAGACAAACTAGTTTCAATATGTAGATAAATACCTGAAACACATGTACAAGTCTGCTAATGCCACGGTCACGTCCTCTTTCTAACAAGCATCACAGTTCAGTGGAATTCATCCGTTCAGTCTCTGTAGTATGCGTTCTTGTCCTGACTTGGTGGTGTACACTATGGATTGGTTGCTAGTCAATCACAGGGCACATATCGAGTTTTCAGTAAACATAAGGCATGTTTTTGGAATGTGGAAAGTAAGTGCAATATCCAGATAAAACCCATGCAAGCTCTGGTATTTTTAGACTTGCAGGCACTCAAAAAAATCCTTTGGTTCCATTGGATTTACCTAAGTGGAACATGTACAAACTTGACAACCCAATATGAGTGTGGAGGATAGTTAACCAAGTACTGTTTTGTGAAACACGTAGCCTATTGTGCAGGGAACTCAGATTCAAAGATTAAGTTTGATCAAATGTGAAAAAGAGATAAGTAAGCTAAAGGCATATAAGCAGTGCAGTAAAGACAGTTAAACCATGTTAATTCCACAGTTTAGCCAACCAATAGCTTGTCAAACATTAAGATTCCTATTGATTATGCGTTTAATTCAATAAACAATACAACAGATGATACGGAGACTGCCTTTAGAACCAGTGAAAAATGTGGCGTGGTAGTACAGCTAATTCACGCAAGTAGCGAAATGGTACGAAGTAGCTAATGCGAATGTAAGTTGTGACAGAACAAGATTGAATGAAATTTTGAGGGGATTCCACTTGCTTTGCTGCACTAAGTGGGACTCGCTTGAAACTTGAAGGTTAAGACTCGTGTATGTGACGCGCATTACCGGCTCTGGTAGTTGACATGGTAATCACCATCTGCAATCATGCCTGACCGAAGTTTACCTTTTCATTTTGTGCCATTCTGAGCAGAATTTTGGACTGCTTGGTGGAAATAGCCTAAAAGTTTGTTTTAACTGAATGTTTCTGATAGAAGGTTCTATATCTCGGTGATGGCAGGGAGCATGCAGGCTCGCATTCGTCCCTCCCTCCAGGCTGACCTGCAATCAGAAATCCACTGTGAGACCATCGAGTGCCTCTTGTTCGGGTTCACCACCTCACCGTCTGCTTTGCTGTCTGACACACTTCCCTTCTCGACCATCAGCATGGGTCGGTTGTGTTTTGGGGAGACGCTCGAAATGGTCGTGGCACTCTTGGCGTGTATCTCAGGGCAGCTGCTCTTGCGTTGCCGTGGGAGACCAGGACTTGCAGCGTGGGGGATGCTGTGAGCTCTTGAGCGAGCCGGCCTCTCCCACTCACTCTCGCGTTGACTTCCATCATGTGGGCACGCATTGAATCTTGACTGACAAGTCGAAAGGTTGTTGTGATGGCCGTAAAGATACTCCAAGGGGTCTGAGCTGCCTAATATTTCATTGCATTCTACCTGCCGCACACCATTTTGTTTGTGGTTGATCGCCAAGGATTTAGTCTCGCTGTGGCGTGACGCCCGCCTCCTCTCATACACTCCGTCTACTTGGTGTGCACTGGGTGAAACGTCGCTGGTAGGGAACGTGGGGTGCGCCAGGTGGCAGATGGAGAGGAGGTAGTCGTCAGAAGAGACGCCTTCGGCAACACGTTGCGTGTTGGTCTCATTCAAATCTCTCGGTGTCTCCTCTGTGCCCTCGCTGATCGTAGGCAGGAGCAATTCTCCCTTGGAGAGCAGTTTGGAACGTGGCCGCATAGCTGAGGGAGAGCGTAGGGAGGGGAAGGTGCAATGTTTATTGCCAAAACCAATACACTGCAGCCATTGTACCTAACATAAACATCAGGTGGGATTGGTTTGTTGTGAATTCACTTCACTGAACCTCACTAATATTGTGGTCTGACCTTTGGATCATCCTAATAATCTTGCCATTTCTGTTTACTGTGGATAGAGGGCAACACATAAATGAAAACATCTTTCTGGATGATACAGTGCAGTTTTAGCACGACAGCCACAATGATAACCAAAAAAAGTACTGCTCATTTAAGAATTCTCTGATGCTGATCAACAAATACCACAACAAATCTTTCTTCATCCATGTATATCTATGCCAGCCACATATAGTGACAGGGAGAGTGATTAAATGCTCTTTCAACAGAATACTGCTTTGGTTTTCAACGAAACAGACTCAGAGTTCACACCGAGTAAGTCCATTTGTGAGGAAATTGAGATGGAATCATCATTATATCGGTTCATAGTTAACTATTTGACATTTGGTTGTGCGTCGTGAGATTTTTCTGTCGTAAATGATGTTTCTTAGCTCTGTAAAGGCTGAAAAACACAGATCCATGTGAACAGACCTTTAAAAACAGTTCTTGTACTGAATCTCAGCTAATGTTGTCAATGTGTGTGTGTGTGTGTGTGTGTGTGTGCGTGTGTGTGTGTGTGTGTGTGTGTGTGTGTGTGTGTGTGTGTGTGTGTGTGTGTGTGTGTATATATGTGTGTGTATAGCGGAGACATGGTTTGACCGAGACTCCACCACGGATGCAATTTTAACATAACTTTTAGGCTGGTGTGTTATAAAACACAAACATCTCTTTAATTTGAGCCAAATGAATGACTTAATTATTGTAATACCACATATCACGTCATGCAAACAAATGAAAAACACAAACAATGGCAAGAAGTGTAAATACAGTATATCAGAATGTTTTGAGTCTATTTATTCCCAACAGAACCCAGTGTAACCCACATTATATTTTAGTCTCCACCTCCATCCCAAAAATAGCGCGAGCCAAACCAAGATGCCAGCCTCTCCCAGTCTCCTCCAAGGTGTAGCACAGTGCTAAATTTAGAACGCATGTACAGTTAAGCATGGCTGAAAGTGGTACCAGCCGGGCTGCAGCCCTCTTTTCAAGCATACGCTATGCACCCTTTGTGTTTCCCCTTCAGACGTGACAAGTAATAATGATCATTAAGTGAATTCTTGTTGTTGTTTTTACACTCACCTGCTCGCAGGCGCCTTTGGCGTATCTTTCCTTTTGTACAGCGGCAAGCTCAAAAGTCAATGTGGCGTCTTCTTTCTATCGCCGACTGTTTTGTTTATCAGGTGAGATGCTGGCTGATGGCGCGTCTCCTTGAGCGCGCTCTGTGGCTGCTGCTGGTGTCTCTGACCAGCGGCGGAGGCAGAATGCAGATTTATCTTCTACACACCCCCTCCCCCGTTTTCCCTCCCCAGACACCCTCTCCCTTGCTTACTTTTGGTTTGCCCTCCTTCCCTGCCTCTAAAAATAGACCCACCATTCATTTCCTCACCCCATCATTGGGCGACTGTCTTGATGGAGGGAGAAAAAACACAAAGCAAACAAAGACATCAATAAGAAATGTTGAAATAGATCATGTGCAGGGGCAGCAACCCCAACCCGACGCCTGGCTGCTCTCTACCTGCTCTTAAGTAAATATTTAATCAAATGTATGCCATAATGAGATGCATCAAACAATTTGACCCTTGCAAATGCAGCATTCTATTTTTCTAATTGAATAAAAAACAAATTTTCTTTCATTGGCTCTATCTCTCTCCCGATGTATCTTATCAATTAGTCTGTCTGTCTCCCTCTTCAAAAATAATTATAGTTATAGATGTTACGTTTTTTTTCAGTTGCTTTGGTACATTTCTCAGATTAGAATTCGCAAAACAGTAAGTGAAAATTTGTAGCCCCCACAAAAAAAAAAGCAAAACAAAAACATCATGGTTCTCCTGCAAAAGCCACTTTCTTTCTCAACATCCTTAGTACATAGCTGAAAAGTAAATATTTGTGCCACTGAACAACGAACGACAAGTCATTATGTCATTGTGTACGGATAAGACAGTCAAATTGGTTCGTCATGTTGTCAATAAACAGAAACAGTGTATTCTGGAAAGCTGCCTTTGACGTAAACTGCCACTTCAGTTTTGATGACAAATTCAGGATTTTAAATTGAATTTGTGTATGATTGATTGATTGCAACAGATTGGCCAAGATGCACATTTCAGATCAAGTATTTGCACTGTAAATTGTTGAAAAACCATCTCATTTTGATACAAAAAGGAAAAGACAGCACTGCATAGCATCAAGAAAAAAAAGAGGTACAATCCACCTAAGGGAAATTTGGACGTGAAACACTGTAAGAATTACAGTGCAGTCTTCCTACCTCCTTTGGGCCACAAATTTTCATCGATATCCCAAAAATAATCTTCACTTGCTCTGAGCTACAGTTTTAGAGGCCAAAATAGTATCTTCTATTTTGTGGTCGATGGCTGATTGATGAAGATATCATATTAACGATCCTCAAGCAACTCTTTGAAAAATGGTCACTTGACTACAATTTGTAGTTTTCTTTGGATCTGACTGTTGAAATAGGATTGGGCTGCTATTAAGTGCAGAGCTGGATCTGCACAGATGGCTGTTGGCCACGCCAAAAACTTGAAAAGATCTTTTGACTTAAACACCTTTAGCTGATGAAAAGAACTGCACAATACAAAAATATCCATCCATCAATTTTCCTTTACCCTCACAAGGGTTGCGGGGGGTGCTGGAGCCTATCCCTCAACTCAACTCAACTCAACTCAACTGTATTTATAGAGCACTTTCAAACAGCCATCGCTGCATACAAAGTGCTGTACATGGAGCAATTTAACATATACAACAAACAGTAAAGCAAATCGGTAATAAAGACGGTAGAAAGCACCGAACAGCAAAACCAAGAACAAATCTA